CCCTTGCGATTTGTGCTTTTTGCACTTACTTGTCATGAAAACCTTTAGGGGGACACCCCTTAAGATCTGTGGGTTTGGGATCTGAGTTTTCACAAAACCTTAGGGGGATATTTAAGAAGGAGAGAAGGGAGGGTGGGGGAGGGTGGAGATTCCAGGATAGTGGAGGTGGGGGAGAGTGAGGAAGGTGAGGGGAGGGGGTAGTGGGAGGGATAGGGAGAGGGAGGGAGGGGTATGGGAGGAGGACGAGGGATGAGGAGGAGGCTGCGGGCAAAATCTGGCGGAAGTGATCCGCCACCGAGCAAAAAGCCTGTAAATACCGCATTAAACAAAGGGCCAGGGATTTCACATATCTGGTGGCAACATCTGGCGGAAGTGAGCAATCGGTACTTCTGTCAGATTTTGCCAACAGATATGTGAACTCCCTGGCCCTTTGTTTAATGCGGTATTTACAGGCTTTTTGCTTGGTGGCGGATCACTTCCGCCAGATTTTGCCCGCAGATGTGTGGGATCCCTGGCCGTTTTTTGAACGCGGATGGGAAGAGACAGCAGGCTCCAAACCGCCGTGTCTCACCCACCACTTCAAGGGCTAGGGATCCCACACATCTGCGGGGCAAAATCTGGCGGAAGTGATCCGCCACCGAGCAAAAAGCCTGTAAATACCGCATTAAACAAAGGGCCAGGGATTTCACATATCTGGTGGCAACATCTGGCGGAAGTGAGCAATCGGTACTTCTGTCAGATTTTGCCAACAGATATGTGAAATCCCTGGCCCTTTGTTTAATGCGGTATTTACAGGCTTTTTGCTTGGTGGCGGATCACTTCCGCCAGATTTTGCCCGCAGATGTGTGGGATCCCTGGCCGTTTTTTGAACGCGGATGGGAAGAGACAGCAGGCTCCAAACCGCCGTGTCTCACCCACCGCTTCAAGGGCTAGGGATCCCACACATCTGCGGGCAAAATCTGGCGGAAGCGATCCGCCACCGAGCAAAAAGCCTGTAAATACCGCATTAAACAAAGGGCCAGGGATTTCACATATCTGGTGGCAAAATCTGGCGGAAGTGAGCAATCGGTACTTCTGTCAGATTTTGCCAACAGATATGTGAACTCCCTGGCCCTTTGTTTAATGCGGTATTTACAGGCTTTTTGCTTGGTGGCGGATCACTTCCGCCAGATTTTGCCCGCAGATGTGTGGGATCCCTGGCCGTTTTTTGAACGCGGATGGGAAGAGACAGCAGGCTCCAAACCGCCGTGTCTCACCCACCGCTTCAAGGGCTAGGGATCCCACACATCTGCGGGCAAAATCTGGCGGAAGTGATCCGCCACCGAGCAAAAAGCCTGTAAATACCGCATTAAACAAAGGGCCAGGGATTTCACATATCTGGTGGCAAAATCTGGCGGAAGTGAGCAATCGGTACTTCTTTCAGATTTTGCCAACAGATATGTGAAATCCCTGGCCCTTTGTTTAATGCGGTATTTACAGGCTTTTTGCTTGGTGGCGGATCACTTCCGCCAGATTTTGCCCGCAGATGTGTGGGATCCCTGGCCGTTTTTTGAACGCGGATGGGAAGAGACAGCAGGCTCCAAACCGCCGTGTCTCACCCACCACTTCAAGGGCTAGGGATCCCACACATCTGCAGGCAAAATCTGGCGGAAGCGATCCGCCACCGAGCAAAAGCCTGTAAATACCGCATTAAACAAAGGGCCAGGGATTTCACATATCTGGTGGCAAAATCTGGCGGAAGTGAGCAATCGGTACTTCTGTCAGATTTTGCCAACAGATATGTGAAATCCCTGGCCCTTTGTTTGATGCGGTATTTTACAGGCTTTTTGCTTGGTGGTGGATGACTTCCGCCAGATTTTGCCCGCAGATGTGTGGGATCCCTGGCCGTTTTTTGAACGCGGCATTTACAGGCTTTCTGCTCGGTCGCGGCTTGCAGGGACAACACACTCTTGCCCCCACTCCACCCTCCCGCCCCCTTCATACCTCACTACCCACCCCCCTATCTCAGCCCCTTGCCTCGTACCCTACCCACTACCCACCACCCACCACCTACTCCTCCCCATCCCACCCCAGCCCGCCCCACCTCCTGCCCCCTGGCCCTAGATTCCAGCCTCCAGCCCCACCCAAAGCCTGCCAGCCCACCACCTTTTCGCAACCCCGCCCAGCCTCAGCCCCAGCCCTGGCGGGGGGGGGGCTGGGGCTGGGGGCTGGGGCTAGGACTGGGCCGGGGCCTTGGGGCTGGGCCTGAGGCTGGGGCTGGGGTTGGGGGCAGGCCTGGCGGGTGGCTGTGGCTGGGGCTGCTGCTGGGGCTGGGGGCTGGGGCTGGGGTCGGAGGCTGGGGGCTGGGGCTGGGGTCGGAGGCTGGGGGGCTGGGGCTGGGGCTGGAGCTGAAGATTTAAATTTTTAAAATTCTTTAAATTCTTTAAATTCTTTAAATTTTTAAATCCGGACGATTTCAGAATTTAAAGAATTTAAAGGATTTACCTCCTTTAAATTTTTTAAATTCTTTAAATTTTTAATTCCGGACGATTTCAGAATTTAAAGGATTTACCTCCTTTAAATTTTTTAAATTCTTTAAATTTTTAATTCCGGACGATTTCAGAATTTAAAGGATTTACCTCCTTTAAATTTTTTAAATTCTTTAAATTTTTAATTCCGGACGATTTCAGAATTTAAAGAATTTAAAGAATTTTAAAAATTTAATTCCGTGGGCTGGGGTCGAAGGCTGGGGGGCTGGGGCTGGAGCTGGAGCTGGACATTTAAATTTTTAAAATTCTTTAAATTCTTTAAATTCTTTAAATTTTTAATTCCGGACGATTTCAGAATTTAAAGAATTTAAAGGATTTACCTCCTTTAAATTTTTTAAATTCTTTAAATTTTTAATTCCGGACGATTTCAGAATTTAAAGGATTTACCTCCTTTAAATTGTTTAAATTCTTTAAATTTTTAATTCCGGACAATTTCAGAATTTAAAGAATTTAAAGAATTTTAAAAATTTAATTCCGTGGGCTGGGGTCAAAGGCTGGGGGGCTGGGGCTGGAGCTGGAGCTGGACATTTAAATTTTTAAAATCTTTAAATTCTTTAAATTCTTTAAATTTTGAAATCCGGACGATTTCAGAATTTAAAGAATTTAAAGGATTTACTTCCTTTAAATTTTTTAAATTCTTTAAATTTTTAATTCCGGACGATTTCAGAATTTAAAGGATTTACCTCCTTTAAATTTTTTAAATTCTTTAAATTTTTAATTCCGGACGATTTCAGAATTTAAAGGATTTACCCCTTTAAATTTTTAAAATTCTTTAAATTTTTAATTCCGGACGATTTCAAAATTTAAAGAATTTAAAGAATTTAAAAAATTTAATCCCGTGGGCTGGGGTCGAAAGCTGGGGGGCTGGGGCTGGAGCTGGAGCTGGACATTTAAATTTTTAAAATTCTTTAAATTCTTTAAATTTTTAAATTCCGGACGATTTCAGAATTTAAAGAATTTAAAGGATTTACCTCCTTTCAATTTTTTTAAATTCTTTAAATTTTTAATTCCGGACGATTTCAGAATTTAAAGGATTTACCTCCTTTAAATTTTTTAAATTCTTTAAATTTTTAATTCCGGACGATTTCAGAATTTAAAGGATTTACCTCCTTTAAATTTTTTAAATTCTTTAAATTTTTAATTCCGGACGATTTCAGAATTTAAAGAATTTAAAGAATTTTAAAAATTTAATTCCGTGGGCTGGGGTCGAAGGCTGGGGGGCTGGGGCTGGAGCTGGAGCTGGACATTTAAATTTTTAAAATTCTTTAAATTCTTTAAATTCTTTAAATCTTTAATTCCGGACGATTTCAGAATTTAAAGAATTTAAAGGATTTACCTCCTTTAAATTTTTTAAATTCTTTAAACTTTTAATTCCGGACGATTTCAGAATTTAAAGGATTTACCTCCTTTAAATTTTTTAAATTCTTTAAATTTTTAATTCCGGACGATTTCAGAATTTAAAGGGTTTAATCCCTTTAAATTTTTTAAATTCTTTAAATTTTTAATTGCGTATATACACAGTATATATTAAGACACAGAGCAAGCCCTACGCCAAATAGGACCTAAAGGTCCTACGTACTTAGCCCTTTAGAGAACCTGTAAGTTCCTCACCCAGCCAGCTCCTCAACCGGGATCTTTCCTAACTAGAGAGCTCGCATCCCCAAATAAACCCTCACCCCCCTTGCATAGGACTTGGCAGTGATGCCTGTAACCCTATACACTCAACCCCTCTGCTCCTAAGTCCAAGCTTGCCGTTTCGCCGGTTTCGGCTCCGGAAACCATAAACTGCTTGAAAGCCTAGACCCTATACCCCCAGATATGCAGGGGCAGAAAACAGAACTCCATTAGACAAGAGAAGCTGCGGCAAACCGCGCCAGCCCAACGCTGAATGAACCGTGGCCTACAGACACAAGTACCTTCATTAGGGTTCCAAGTAATTAGTTGCGTACAACTATAGTTATCTTACTAAAAACCCAAGTAACAGCGAAGCTGTTAGGTCAGGCCGAGAGGCAAACATGGAGTGCTGGGGGCCCGGTGCCACGCCCTGGAAGACGAAGATCGGATTGATCCCAGCCCTCAGCGTGTTTTGAAAGGTTTAGGGCCTTTCGGGATGTTAAAGTGTTTCCGAGATCTGCAGACCCTTTCGAAACGTTCAGACAGGGTTTGCACGCTTGAAGGCTAACTGGAAGCTAGACAAAATAGCCAAGACGGTAGGCTCCTTTTTCCGTGAGGATGTCCTTAACTCTGACAGCAAAGCAGCATACAATGTACTTCCTTGGTCGGGGGCTGTCCCAAGGTTTGCATCCCCTATGATTGGAGCTAAATGCCCTGCCAAGTGTCTCTCTGAACGCCTCCAGCTCCTTGTCCTCAGCGGACGAAGCACCAAATCACAACCGATGGGCTGTCGAAAGTCCCAAGCTACAGCAAGACTGAGTTGAGGGGGAGGCTTGGACCGTCTTGTGGGTAGGAGACGGTGCCCGAGGCAAACCCACGCCTCCTTGCACGGCTCATTCTTGTGTTATAGTTGCTGACTGTTCAACCTTCTCAGGATTCACTAAAGCTGTCAACAACGGGCAGGCTTCACGGTTAAAGCTTGCAAAAGCCTGTGCAGGCCGTGCCAGGCGACCCTTCGCACCTTAAACCATATCCTAAGTCTTGCACTACACTTTACAGCCTCGTGAGAAACCGAAGGAAGGTAGGTGAGCATCATTGACAGTTTACACTGCTCACGTGTCTAAGAGTTTGGTCGGGTCGGGTTGTACCAAACCTAGCTTCACGAAAGCAAAACTATGATGACGGCAGGACAGCTACATCAACACACAGGAACCTTGAATCCAACAAACACCGTACATGCCACCACCAAACCCTGGAGAACCCCTTCAACAACCCCCGCCGGCCTCCCTCTGTAAGGCCAAATGATACGTGAATATACCATGGAAACCTTGACTCCGGACAAAGCCATGGGTCCACGAAACCGAAGATGCCGGGCGGGATTCCGCCGAGAGCATCTGCGAAGGGATCCTCAGCTGCTCGGTTTCGGCATTGAGCTTCCATCTCGTTCCAGCTGCGAAGGGGCCTAGAAGCATTCGTTCAAAGGGCATTTTTGGGTGAACCTCCAGGAGGCTGTGTTGCTTCAGGTGAGGGCACAGGATTCACGGTTTGGGGCTACAGAAATAGGTCGGGCAGCTCAGTAGGGCTTCGGGTTGAGCTGTGGGCCTTGCCGAGCAGACTGGTGACTAGTCAAAATGCTCGGCACCATATTCACCACAAAAACAACAGCAACAGCGATTAAATTTGGCCCACTCCCACACCAGCACCGGAATACTCCAAGACCGAATGGTGAAGTCAACGACATCAGCTTTATGACCCTGTCGCTTTACTCGTTCCCAGGAGCTTTGAGGCTAAGGCTCATGGTTTTGGGGCCCATGCCTCCATGGGGTTAGCTCTCAGGTTATCTCTTCAACCCTTCTTCTTTGAAGGTGTTTTACGGTGTTTAACCCGATGCCTCTACCGAACAGGTGCGACTCGTGCAACACCACCTGCAAGCAGCTGTGTTTGAGGGCGCCACACCTTGAACCACTACCACCTCCACAGAAGAGGTCAAAACCCGAAGAGCAACCCGAGAGCCCAAGAAGCTCCCTTAGACCCTCCCCAAACAGTCAAAATTCGACGCTCAATAGCACCCTAGAGCCTAATCCTGATGTCTAACTCTACACCGGCCCTACACCCAGAACCACAGCGCCCCGAAGCCTTACCGTAGACCAGACTCCTAAACCCAAAACCTAGATCCCAAACCCTAGAGCCCTAGAACTAAACCAAAGGCCCAGTGCGTTCTTCGCAACAACCCCCAGAATCCGGCGCGAGGGGCTTTCAAGGCCTGAATGGAGCGGAGCCAGAACACGGCATCGACCCCCACTTGCACGTGCCGAAGCTCCGAAAGCTTTCCTTCGAAGTCGCAGTTTCAAACACCAACACATTTCACAACTTCTTTGGGCTTCGGGTCTTACGTAGGCTTTGGGGTTTGAGGGTACAGTACAAGGTCAGAATCGGGAATGCGAATGTACAAGCCAAAGTGCCAAAGTGACAGCCAGCAACAAACCCATGACGTGCAGCGACAAAGACAGAACAACCAGGAAGACAGCACCTCAATAAATATCGGCAGTGCCCTATATGTTCACAGTGTTTCCGGCTGCGGTGCCAACACCGTCGTCCCGTCGTCCTCATCGTCGTCGTCGTCGTCGGTGTACTAGCATCTAGGGTTTTAGGAGCTTCGAAAGCCGTCCCAAAGGAGTTTTGCAGCTTTAGTTGATCCCTAAACCCTCAGTTCAAGCCGCAGATCTTAGGCCACCGAAGCTCAGAAGGCGTGTCTTAAGACCTCAACCCCAGGACCGAGGACATAGTTGACAGTAGTGGGTTCAGGGGATTGAAAGCCTAGAGCTCAAAACCCTGCAACTCTAGCACTAAACCACTAAACTGGCAGAAAGCAAGTGCGCCTAAGTGTCCGGTGTCCTGAAGTATGGTACCGCTTAAGGGTTCTTGTGGCGATAAGCCATGCTTGGCATAGATGTCATGGAGGGAACTCTACTTCTCCATATCTTCAACAACATCGAGCCCCCTGACCGAGTACCGTAGGACTGATGCTCCATGAATGGCCTTTCAAAGTAGTGCTAGGACCGGGCAGAAACAAAGAATCCTCCCAGCCAGGTAATGCGCGAGAGTCCGGTGTTTACCAAATTTTGCTCTTGCAGATGAGTTTGGAGATGTCTAACTCGCATCGCGTGGCCTGAGGCGATGGAACTGATGGGACTTGACAGCAACAGCACTCGTTTTACAATTAACGTTGTTTTGCTTGTGCTGCTGAAAAGTCTTATTGGGTGTGTTTTGGAGAAAGGAAGAGGCTTCAGGGTGTCGCGGCTTGTGCGTTTAGGTCAGCACGGTCGAGGCGGTGGATGATTCAGGATTCAGGAAGCATTTCCATGGTTTGGCAGATTGCAGTGGAGGGTGCAACACAGAACGAATAGCGATTTTCGGAGACTTGAATACCCCAGTACGTTTGAACCTCCTTAGGAACCTGACAAAACACCTAAACCCGCATCAAACCCGGGATACAAACCTGCAACACCCAAGAGATATGGTTCGGTGACACAACAGACGACTCTTGCGACGCAAGACGCCTTCCGTAAATCCCCATGAAGGTAATTTGAAAGTAAACCCTAAACCCTAAACCGAGTAAGTCACCTAACAAGAGCCCAGAGGAGAGCCGGCGGCGCGTAGCGCTTTCCCAGGTTTGGGCATCGGACTTGGTTCCAAGGGTAAAAGGAGGGACCCTTAATAAGGACCCCTAGGTATATACCCTCAATATAGCTATTGTATACCCATATTATAGCCCATTATAGGGTAGGGGTCCCCATTAAGGGTCACTCCTTTTCCCCTTTGGTTGGTGGACCCAAGCCTAGGTTTTCATAGGTAGACCTCTGTGGGCACTAGTCAGAGTTGCAAGTACCTGGTACCTTGACTGGGGATCTCTTCCAATCCCCTCACCTGCCAAGTTCCCGATCCTGAGAATTGTGGCTAGTGCTCCACCATGCCGTCATTAGCACCATCAAGCAGGTCACATGTATCACCGAAGCACCACAAGGTTCGACTGCAAATGCGCAGCTGCGATGTACACGGGGCGATGGCCCCTCATCACAAGAAAGCTTTATGCGGTTTTCTGGGCCATGAATGTTCAAAGGAAAGGTTTGCGATCTTTTGTGCTGCTACTACAGTGACAGACCAGCTGCAAAGAACTAATGTTACAACAAGGTTCTTGGGGCTCCACTAGGAATTACCTCGATTGGCTGCTTTTGATTAAGCTCGGCCGTTTCGGGAATGTACGATCCTGGGGAGCACTTCTCCGACATCCTACACTCTAAACCCCTAACCCTCGACCCTGTATCCCTGTCTTTCCATTGCTTCTTCCCTTCGCCTTGTCTCCCGCTCCCAGACAAAAACTTCACCCCCAACCCCTGCGTTGGACTGACCTTCTCCTCCGCTCGCCGGGGGCGGCGGGGGAGTCCCACACTGGTCTTTTGACTAAACGGCTGCCGCAAGATAAGAAATGCCAGAAAGAAGGGTGCACTTACAGACCCCACATGGATCCTCAATACCGTACGAGTGTCCTGTTCTGAAAGCCTCAAAAAATGGTTTCACGGAGTTTGCTCATTGAGTGTTAGTACGAGGTTCCCCGCTAGGGCTTGAGGGGTTAAGGTGAAGAGAAGCAGCACTTCAGGATGCACGGTGCAAGACTCTTTACGCCGACGTGATATGCTGAACTCCGCTGAAGCCTCATTCTTCTTCCCCTAAAGCCCACACTGCACGAAAGTAGAGTCCTCAGAGAATACTTCGATGAAGACACAACGTGAAATCTGTGCTGCGAGCCTGGTTCCTGCAAGCCTAGTCGACCCACAACTCGAAGACTCTCACTGCCACGGTGTGTGACTGTAAGCCCGGACAACATGCTGGAGCCCTGAAGGGCAGGGCCTCGCGAGAACAGCCCATGCAGGAAGAGCTCACTCGTGGGATCTTCGTCGCTAATGCTTGTGGGACAGAGTTATAGGAAGTCAGAGGAAGGTATCTGCAAAATGTTTGCAACGGGCTGCACTCTACTCCTCCTAGCAGGTGAACAACAAATTAGCATGGTGGAGATTCCTTAAACGAAGGAGAGGAACCAACAAAACTGGGGCCAAGTCCTGGTGGATTTGGCCCTGCAAACACATACATTCTGAATGCGGGTGGCTGCTCTGATAGGTGCGCTCCTTTTCAGGCATTTGCTCAATCGTCTTTGATGACAGTCACAATGCCGGAAAGAATCATCCTGTCAACCCCCCCAACCTCCATATTGGACTGACAGAAGTTACGAGACCCGCCTACATTAGCGACTTTCTTATTGCTGTTGCACCCTCAATGGCACCTCTATGTAGAAAAGTCGAAGACCTCCAGGCAAGTGGGAACCCGTTTGCCAACGCGCGGCTCGTTGAGAGCAGCCTCGTGCTCTTCGACCTGCCACGCTGTCAGAGCTGACAGCTGAGACGCTCAGGGGTTAGCTTTAATTTCTAACATGTGCAGCATTGAGGGTTTGGGGGGAATCGTTCCGGCTTCTGTCCCGTGTGGAAGAGCTTGGACAAAGAAGGCAAATGCCCAGAAGTGTCAAACTGAAGCTTAAGCTTCAGTAGGTAGCACGAAGCCCCATACCGAGAAATTCATGGCACGCCGAGTTGTCGTGTCTGTTGATCTTACTGTCGGTTTGCGATTGCAGGCATGGCTGTGTGATTTTCTTGCTAGCTTTACTTGTATTTCCCTTGTCATCTGGCTTCTACATATATGAGATTGAAGCTGAATCTTCCAAGGAGCATCAGAAGTCATTCAGGGGTCCTCGATCCCTGTAATCCTGTTTGCCTTGTCCCAGATCCTTCACAGAATCCCGTCTTGCGATGGGAGTTTCCGAAAATACGGGACCCTAATCTAGACTCCGAAACAGTAGGATCCTTATTGTAAGGATCCCAAAATACGACGGTACCTCGAATTTTCGGGAATGTCCACAGGCAGACCACCTTTTCTCCTTCTTGTCGCACTACGGGAACCAGTACCCCCTTTCTGAGCCCAAACCCTGCACCCTCTGGAACCCCTGAAAAGCAAGGTCTCGACCTCAAGCTCCAAATCGGGCAACTTGCAGTCCTGGACTCTCAACCTCGACGCATCTAAAACGTAAAATCCCTGAGCCCCCCCCCAGAAAGCTGGCTCGCACCAGGAACAGCAAATGGTTCGGTGACTCCGCCGTCCGGATTCGCCTGCAGCAGAGGACTCGCACCAGCATTCTGTTCCCATCGTCTTGTCTTGTTCTCTACCAGAAGATTCGTAGTGTCGTCGTGTGCCTACCTCCGCGACTCTCGGCAGTCTCATTTTGCGGCGGCCTTTTTTCCTGCTTTCTAAAATGTTTCATTATCTCTTCCAAACTTTCTTGACGTAGGGCTGAGGGCTTGCTTCGAGAAGCAGCGGACCTAGCAGGCAAGGGTGACATGCGCCCAATTGGAGACAAGTATAACTCTAACTATCCCTTGATGAATAGGGCTAGGTCCCCAAGTAAACCCTAACCCGCATACGAATGCAGTGGATTCCACTAAACCCTATCACACACTGCCAGGTTCCCTGAGACTCCAAGTGAAGATACTTTGTCCTAGCAGACACAATCCTGGAAGAAGCTCGGTGAACAGCACCTGAGGAACACCTTTGTCAGGTATGATGACAGGCATCAGACTGAAGCCAGGGAAGCGTCCCTACGCGGGTGCGATGGGCTTTGGTAAGACCGCCGTACAACGGATCATGCCTCCAACGAGATGCTACCCCTAGCTAAGCCCAAGTATAAAAAAACAAACACCTGCCCAACTACTGGAGAAGTACATACAAACCATACATAAATCCCTAAAAAACAAGGCTCACATTCCTGGGCTAGGGCTATCAACTCTCATTCACGGAATTCCCGAGGTTCGCGACCGTCAAGTAGTAGATAAGGAGCTGTTAGCTGATGGTGACGTGAACTTGGCATCAAATGGTTGAAGAACCTGCGCCATCCAAAAATCTACAGTACTAGCAGTCTGAAACACCTAGAAGGATGGACGATCCTGCATCAGAGGAGAGGAGGTGGCAAAGTTCACTAAATGGTCCTTCACTAGACCAGTCGGGTCCCCCCCCCGGTCGCGCAAGTCAGGGAATCTTCAAGCGAGCCTCAGAAGTACGGCAGTTACTGACTCCTGAAAAAGCCCCACTTCGCAAGCACTCAACCTCAATACCCTAAGCGGCCGAGGGTCGGGTTCAGCAATTAGGGCTTAGGGGTTTGAGTTTAGGGATTCTCGGTTTAGGTTTAGGGCTCAAGGTTTTGAGGGTTTAGATTCGGCTTGGGTCTAGTTCGACGTGCAGGAAGCAAAAACGCCCCTGCGCACCCCGTCAGCTGGCGAGGCGAGATGCCTGGCACGTTCTGCACCCTATAAAATCCAGTAGCTCAAGAACGTATAGAAGGGCCTGAATAGTACTCAGCAGCTGGGTAGTGAGACTTCTGAGACTACATGACACTGTTGCAAGGAATGCCGGAGGCAAGCAGACAAGCAAAGCCCCAGCTTCTGCATGTCTCTTGGCCCGCCGTCTTGATAATTAAGCACTCGCGCATAGTGTTAAATGCCTGAAAGCATGCTTCCTCGGGGCCCCCTGGCGCGAAATCCTGGTTCTTAGACTCTTAGGATAAGCTTTCTTAGGAAAACAGCATGAAAGGGGCAACACCGGCGCTGAAATTGAGCATGTGGGTCAAGCTCCCAGCTCGGGCGTGAGGTTCGGCTCCCGGTGCAACGACGAAGCTTCGGGCTTAGGGTTTCTGGCTTAAGTCTACAGTGTGCGCGACGACCTCTCTTGCGGCTTGCCAGTGAACTGCTATTTGCAAGCTGAAGCATGCTGGGAGGATCAAAGTAATCCAGCTATAAGCAAGGTAACCAAACGTGTGCCTGCTTGTATCCCCCCCCCCCCCCACCATACTTGCAACTATCCGTAAGACTTCAAGCGAGGATCCCTCGTGAGGGATCCTTCGTAAGGGACAACTGCAAAGTCGATTGAATCCAAACATCCCCAACCTCCGCGCCGGCGCTGCGGATCGCGGAGTGCAAAAGCCTCAGTCATGGGAGCAGGAAGCGGCTCCGAGGCACTGGCGTGCTTGTGCTTTGGGATTGTCTTGCGCACATTGTATGGGATT